GAGAAAAGTTTTTTTTTTATATAGTGTTCCCTGTTTTCCCCTAAACCCTGTGGTGCCCCCCCCCCCCCCCACCCCCTTTTCAGTAAACACTCAAAGTTTTCCTGCCTCTGTAACGGTTTCCACAATGAAACATGTTGTTATTACTGCAACCTGGTACTACTCAGGCATAATGTGTTCACAAATCAGAAACAAATTAGATTTTTGCATTTCTGATCGTCTGGCCACCAGTAAATATCAGCTGAAAAATCAGCTAATATTGGTCACCAACTGATTCCTCAAAAACAGCAGATCACCTGTGTTTGTGTGAAGATCTCTCATTGGCACTGAACTCTGCCAATGTCCTGAGGTCCTCTGTGGATGGGAGGTCTGCTGATGGAGCTGCACAGACAAACACTTGTTAAGAGTTCAATAAAAAAAAAAATAAAAAAAAAAAAAAACTGAGCAATGGATCAACATTTAAACCTCATAACTAAAAGCTGGGCTACTTGAGGGACTGATTTCCATCGTTTATAAACCAACCTGACGTTTACGTTTGAACCGACAACAGAGTAAAAGTTGTGATCAGGAAATTACCTCATGCATATAAATGGCATGAAGGCTCATCTCTGCTGAGGCAAACTCTGAGTGCAGCGCATTGCTCCGGATGCGAGAGTCGCTGTTAGACATGCTGTAAAAGAGGAGCAGAACTGAAGTTGAATTTGTGCTTCTCTGCAACATTAGATCCCAGGTCTTAAAAGTACCTGTTAATGACGGTGCGGTCGCTGCGGTACATGGTGGTCTCAGGGTAAACGGAGGAGGGCAGAAGGACATGGGGCCGGCTTCGGCTTGGATGTGCATGATGAGAGGTGGACAAAGAGGCCAGGACACTGGCTGCGGCAGATGCAGCAGAGCTGGGCGGGACGAAACGATGGTCTCGCCCTGGTAATCCGGATGCAGTGAGGATGGGGTGGATCAGGACGCTGGCTATAAGGCTTTCAGCCTGGAAGCGGCCACATACATGAAAAGATTTTAAGAACAATCGCCTATTTTTTTGGGGATGTTACGTAAATGACATCAAGATCAGGCTTCCTACCCCGGCGCCAGACTCGTTGGAGTGCAGCGAGGTGCACAGAGGGGCCTCTGAGAGCAGCAACTGTGTTGAAGGCCCACCCTGTGCGTCATGCTGCACCTTCTCCTTTAAGTGGCTGATGAACAGTGAGCTCTCCTGAGGCGGCTGCCAGCGGGGGTTCTTCAAGGTGAAATGCATGAGGGACAACTCGGTCTTGCCGTTCTCAGCCTGTTGATATACAGACGCCTCCGTCTGGCCGTCTGACATCCACTGCAAAAACAGAAGTGCGGCCAAATAAAGCAAATGCATTATTGTTGTTCTCCTGAGTATACTGGCCTCCGTCCTGCCATGTAAATGTAATAAGTCTTACTGTTGGGTTTCCATGCCGCCTAATATCCATCTGAGCAAAGGAGCAGATATCGCCGACTCCAACCACCTCCACAGTGAAGTTCCTGAAGAAGTCGATGATTTCTAGGGATTTGTTTCTCAGGAGGAATATGAGGATGAAGGGAGTAACAATAGGACTTAGAAGTTCCTCCAAAATGAACACCTAAGGTAAACACAGAGACAGATTAATTCTCCCCCCCAAAAACGCATCATGGCGTCATTTCAGACTGAATAATCCAATGATAAATCGTAGGCAACAAGCAATAAAAACAATCTAGTTCAATTTAGTAGAAGCTAATGTTTTCCTATCTACTAATATGCTGTTCTCCTCACCGCTTTGTATTGGAACAGCTGTGCCACCTCGTCACGGGTCTCGCTCTTGTTTGCGTTCCCCCTCCAGTGATCTGGCATGTAATGGATATGAGCCAGCACGCACTGCAGAAGCTGCTCCGGACACCAAACCATATGTTCATCCGGAATGAAAGACCTTGTGCAAAACAGGCACAAAAATGATAAAATAGCTTATCTGAAAAACATTTTTTTTTCTTTTTTTTTACACATGTATTCATATTTTTATGTTATGAATGAAATCTTCAGTGTATCATTCTGAGATTTTATGTAATAGACCAAGACAAAGTAGAGCAGTATTGTGAAGAGGGAGAAAAATGGGAGTGTTTTCCTTTTTCCTTTTTTAGATTAACATCTAAAAATTCTGGTGTGCATTGCTATTCTGCCCTTAAGTCACTCCCTTGCAGGACTATCTTTCACTGTGATTAAATCAGTCAGCATGCCTCTACAAGACACGAACATACACAAAATAATAATAAAAAAAATATATTTTTATTTTTTTTGCAAAAAACTTCAAGCTCAATCATATTGGATGGAGTACATCTACAATTAGCAATCCTCAAGTCTTCCTAACTGGATTTAGTTCCAGATGCTTCTAAGAGATCATCCATTGTTGTTCTGGCTGCATTTTCCTTCTGGAAACTGAGCCTCTCTTCTAGACAGAAAAGCATCCCCACACTATGATGATCCCACCACCATCTTTCCATCTTGTGCATGGTGTGTGGTGTTGCCCTTCGGTCCCACAGCACAGAACAGAACTTAGTGGGCTGCTGATATCCTGCTTTATATCCTACAATTCTATCTCTGAGCTATCTTGTCTGGTTCTTTTACTTAATGTTGTCGTTTGTTTCTTTATTCAAGTAAATTACACACTGGTGGACTCTATTTAATTCATCAGGCAGCTGGTTGAACAGGATTTTATTTGCCGTTATTAAAGTCAATTGAAATTAATGCTGTCCTCAGATTTTTATTCAGTTTCGCTTTTCACTTCATCATGTCCATCTATTTTGAAATCTCAATAAAGTAAACTGGTTTGTGGTTGTAACATGAGAAAATATAAAAGGTTTAAGAAGAAAGAATATTTCTGCAAGTCAATGTATCAGTTTTATATCTAAATTACCTAATTTTTATGACTAATGACAGACATGTGACAGGTGGCACCATATTCTAAAAGAGCATTATGTGCATTTAAGTATATTACACAAAATATGTAATTACATCTTCTATTCTGCATAAATTATATAAATACCAAGTGATTTTGAACCTCTCTTATCAAGTTCCATGTCTGGCAGAGATTCTGCCGATTTCACACCCATAACTAAAAAGAAACGGCAACAACTCACCTGGTTATAGTGATAACTACACCCAGCACAGTGATAGCGGTCAGAATGTGCTGCACTGTAAGAACGTCCTCATCATAGACAGTCAGTGCAATGAGAACAGCCAGCACCGAGCCTGAGAAAAAAGCAACATTCTTGGCGAGAACAGTCAGGAGCGGCGACGTGAAGGAGTTCATGTATTTTGAAGTGGGCTTGTAGCCACGACCCAATCGTCCATGCAGCTCGTGGTTCAGCTCGTTGAAGTGCCGCAGGTATAAGCGGCCGTAGAGGGACCAGCGGCGTGCGCCCAAACTTCCGGGCTCCCTGCGGATCACTTCAGTATAACTGAAGAAAGCGTAAAGCACCTGCCACACCAGGATGAAAGGACACAGCAGCAAATTGGCCAAGCCTATCAGCAGGATCACTCTGCTCAGCTTCTGAGCCAGCTCAAGGCGATTTCCACTGCGCTTGTACTTAGGGTGCAGGTTCCACTTGTTCTGAAACAGGGAGCCGGGACCCCAGAAAAGGATGAGCTCGAAATTGTACTTGAGGCCTTGGGTTAAGAAGACCACATTGCCCAGCAGGGGGAGCTGCAGATGAACTGGCAGCAGCGATTTGTTTATCATGGCCACCATGTAGTTCTTGAAGCGCAGGATGCGGTGATAGATGTCAAGTTCTGTCAGTTCTTTCTTGTGAATGCACATCTGCTGTTCCCTCTGCAAACTGATGAGCCGATCCTGGACCTCCTGCCACGTGAAGTTGCATAGTTCATCCTGATAAGAAGAAGGAAGGGGGGTGGGGGGACAAAAGAAACTGATGAGAAAAAAAACAACAAATTGCTTGTTTGCTGTAGCAAATCTTAATTTAGATCACCAAGTGGAGCATATACCATTTTAATCTTCAGTGCTTTGATGTAGAACTGCCTGATCTCCCAGTAGCTCAAAATGTTGCAGAAGACTTTAATAAGTCGGTAGATCCAGAAGGTGGCAGCCATTATCAGAAGGAATATGATCCAGCTGTTGTCTTGTATCCTAAAAGAAAATGAAAATCCCTTTTGTACACAATTGCAAGTCATTTTGTCTTGCTATGGCTTTAAAAAGACAAATATTATGCAGTTGCAATTTTACTGTTGAATCTTGCTTCCTTCCTCTGGCAACCTCTGCTACTCTTCTCCAATTACATGTTTAAGCAAAGTTTCAACCAGTAACGACAGGGCAAAGGCTTTGCATAATCCCAGAGGGGGTGACATGTTGCAGGGTTCTACCAAGGCTGTTTTGATTGCCTTTGTGTGCCTGTTGCCCACCTCATGTAATCCTTCACTCTACACCAGGTGACAGTTCCACAGATCCAAAGTTAAACCTGTGCTGAAGACTTTGTGCAGAGTGACAAGTATCAACAGCGAGAAACTATAGGCACAAAATCTTGACCCTGTTCAGTGGATGTCACTTGTGTTACCTAAAATATCCAAAACTGAGAAAGCTTGTGGATACTCCCAGGTAGAGCAAGTTACTTTTTAAGGTTTTAAAAAGTTACACTTTCTAAACTGCTAACATTTTCCACCTTACCGTCCCTTAAGTTTAAAGTTATTTTATTCAGATGATGCCAGATAAAATGACGGAACAACTGGAGATTTCTATGGTTATATGGAGCATATAATAGCACAGCGTCATCCACATAAATATAGCTGACAAAAATATTTTCAACTATGAAACACACAGAAAGTCATCTTATGAAAACAAAACTATGACTACCCATCACTCCTAATAAGGTGAGCATCTCTTTTAAGCACCCAACTGTAAAGCAGTTATTATGACTAATTAAGAAGACAGAAATTTAAAAAGGTGTAGTTTTCATTGTGTGTTGAAATCAAAACAATAACTAATTGGTTTAGAAAATAGTATTATAACTGGAATAATTGTTATGATATTTAACCTAACAGCAGGTTGCAATACAAAATACACTAGCTGCTGCTTTTCTATTTTAGATTAAATAAAATTAGATCACACTTTTTTGTTTGAAATTGTTCTGTAATTTCTGGGACACTTTGATCATTTGAAATGGTTACTGTAGGCCATCATATCTTCAAGAAAAAACTAAATAAACAAACATATCACATCAGTGAAATTGTCAAAACTTTTTGATGCCATATGATGTCGGACACTTTAACGGAGAGATGAACCGTAATTATGTCCTCAGTGCACATGTCTGTTAAAGCTCTTCAAATATGAAATTAGATAGGAGTTATGAAGTAGACAGAGAGACTCTGAACTGTGGGACAAGCTGTTCCTAAAATAGCGTACCGTGCAGCTCGACGTCACTGACTTTGACATAAACAATGTTTGTGCTGGAGTTAGACTGAAGCTCAAACAGATGACGCGTGTCCCATAAGCCGTAAAGAAGAAAGAAGGCTAAGTTAAAGCTACATGGAAAAAATGTGGCGGCACTCTGTTCCAGGGGTGCTGGTGGTGGGGTGCTCTTTTAAAGGAAAGGTAGCAATGTGTCATGTGGTAGTCAGCTTGTCAGTATCCAAGTCAGCCAGTTGCAGCTCACACCAAAGGTATCAGTTACACTGGCTGTTTCTCTCAAGCCGGTCTGAACGGTTTACAGAAACATATCCCTAGAAGAAACCATGACTTATAAGAATGTTCCAACTTGAAGCTGCCAAGCTCAAAGTAAATAACAAATGTGGGAATGGAGTACACTCCAGTGAGAAACTGGAGTGTTGTGAATAAACATTGGCTCGCTCTGAGTAAAACTGATTTTAACATCAACAAATCTGTCTTTATTTTAACCATGACATGGCAAAAGGAAATGTCATAAAAAAAATAAAAAAAAAACAACAACACTGCAAATGATAGCAACATTACTACCAATACTATGTGCGTGTGAATATGTGTGTGAATTGGTAGGTGACTGGATGTAGTGTTAAGTGCTTTGGGGTACTCTGGACTTGATAAAGCTCTATACAAGCACAGACCATTTACAAGCCAAAATTCTTTTTATAAAAATAAGCTTTCAAATCTCTGCAGTATATATTAAGGAACCTTCACTGCCAAGCCTTACAGATAAAAATCTACACCACGTCCTCTTCATTAAATGACTAATCTCCATAGAGACCAGCAAAATAGCTGCCTGCTCAATATTCTTACCCTGGGAAACTGACCGTATCTTGCAGTCTACAGCCACATCTAGTTCAGCCCCCTAAGAAATAAAGTCACGCTATTTAATTGGAACTATATTAGACTGGGCAGCTGCGAAAAGTCTGACAAATGGAATCTCTCTAAAGGCCAGTCTCTAATCCTGCACTCAGCTCGAGAACAAAGCATCTCATCAGACTGGGCGAAATGAGAGAACAGCCACAGGAGATACGACTTAATGTGAATGTGACAGATTAAAGTCATTTTATCTCTGCAAGAAAAACAAAATGAAATGTCACTGTGATTTCTTTGGCGTTTGTTTATCTGTACCTCTGTGTGCACTGCTGGCTTGGTACGATGGCATCCGGAAGCGTCACTTTGTTTCTTTCGTAAGGGTTCTGGCCTTGCCCGGTGTGGTTCACTGCTCGATTGGCAAAGAGGACATCATACTCCACACAGTTGACAAGGAATGTAGTGAATGTGACAACAAACAGAAACTGACTGGAAGGAAGAAAAGGAGAATTGCATTATTTTTCATAGTGATTAATTGTGTTGAACCACATTTCTAACTTTTACAAGGGCACAACAATAAGTGATCAATTAGTAATACTACAGGAGGTAAACATCTTGACAAAAATTGTTCTGGATATTATTCTGAAATAGACTGAAATTGGCCCCAGGAAAACAAAGATTAATCAAACATTCCCAGACACTCTAATCAACATAAATACATTTTAAAAAAAATTGCATTTACTTTGGCTAAAAATCTAAGGGATGCAAATTAGGGTAGAGTTGGTGATTTTAGGTTCAAATTAAATATTGGAAATGTCTACGTGTGTGTGAAATGATGCAACAAAAGATAAATATTTTAAGGCTTTCTACAATGTGAAGGGTGCTGCCGCAAGATGGATGTTGAAATATTAAAAAAAGGATAAGCTTAGCACCTAAAGAGAACCGATTCCTTTGAGAATCATGCATCCTTGCATAAATGAATACAAGACTGATCTTGTTCCCACAAGAGCATGTGACAGTAACTTCTCATCATAAAAATCACAGAAAACCAACACCACTAAAAGACTGCTACTTTAACTGAAAACAAGTACACTCTTTTTAATAAGACGTACGTCACTGTGCCCCAAGCTGCATCTTGCAAATATAATTATAATTTTATACTTACATGAGTTCAAAGAATTCTGACAACATCATACAGGCAAAGCCATTTTTTTGATGATAGTGATAGATGTAAATACGTTGGTTAAGGAAAACCTGATATAGGTGATCTACAATAAACATATTAATAAGTTGACAGATCAAATAATAAAATACAACAAAAACATATTCATTTTTCAATTTAATTTAATTCTTTCTAGCAGTTTTATGAATAGCAAAAGACTCATGAGGCTTTTCATAGCAGATACTAAATTCAACTTTTTCGTGGGCTCTGACCTCTAATTCTGAATGAGAATTAGCCATACAGAAGTCCATAGTCCACTTCCACACAGAAAAAATATGATCAACATTTTTTGATAACCCACTGAAAATGAAGAAATAAAAAGATCATCCATATTAAAGAATATGTCTAACTCAATAAAGTGCAAAGAGCATCAAGTCAGATAATGCATTTAAAGACTGAAGATAGTGGGAAGTCTTAGTTTTGATACATTTAATTAATAGGAAAAAATATCTAAGTTTTCATAATTTAACCCCTTAACTATCACCCTGAAAAAACCCACTGGATAAATGCATGTCATCCAGTGTTCTCATGACAATCAGGGGATTTTTAACTTGCTGATCATCGATTAGAGGCAGTTACCAAGTGTATAGCAAAAGCTTAAAGGAAACAAGCAAGGTCAAAGAAAGGGAAAAAATGACAATGTGTCAGTGAGAAATGGCTGTATGAATAGGCTACAGCCAAAAAACAACCCAAAACATGGCACAAAAATAAAATAATAAAACTATAACTACAAAGAAATTAAACACAAAATATAAAAAAATATATATATAAATTTGCCACATACAGAGGAAACAAACAAAACTTGTAATTCTAGACAACAGGGTTTGTGGGTTGATTTGTTTTTTAGTACTGTGGAGAGAGCATGTTACCTTCTCATATTTGTTTCACGTGGCCACTTGTTTTGCAATCTGAGAGAGGTAAACATTACACAACCCAACACTTCCACTGCAACTACTGATTTGCTTCAGTTTATGTTAGAAAGCCATGATTTCAAAGGATATTCTTGTAAAGAAGTTATCCAAGTTCTTGATATGGTGCCATGAGTCTGTAAGAAAAAATTGAGACATGAGTCATCCTCAGTGAGGAAACAACTATGACACAGCTGCATCCAGTCATTTTAGATGACTAGATAATCGTCATAGGGCTGTGTTTTTATATCCAACCCGTAATAACAGAAATAGCTACGTTTACCTTTTAGACTTTCGGGGACATGGACCAATAAGTCTTCTTCTCCTGGTGGAGAGTCTTCCTCGTAGTCCTCAATTCTCTGATACTCCTGGTAGGCTTCAAAGTTAGCCATTGTGCTTCATTCTTTAGTCACCCCAAACTGTTTATAGCAAACACTAACACGAAACGAGCAGAGACAGAGAACCGAGGCTACATTCTCTAGCTAATATAAGCAGCTCAAGCAGTTCAAATAAGGGTAAGAAAAGCTAACATTAGATTGCTAACTAGCTAGACTGACCGACAGCGCTTGTATAACCTTAAATCACCATGATTACACGTAAATACAGCGTTTGAGTTAAGAATTTAGTGCGCGTTGCCTCCGTTAGTTTTAGTCCTGAATGCTAGTTGCGTTTATAAAAGGTGATAAGTAAAATCGAGAGAGTGGCAGCCGGTTAGCTTGTAAATGATTCAGCCCGTGTGTAGTCAGGGTGACACGGTTTGTTTTGTTCCCGACTTGCTCTGTCCTGATGCTGATCCTGATCTTCTTTCTGGTTTGGTTTGAGATATAAGTCTTTGTATGACCTCCTTTAAAACCTCCAAGTCTTTCAGTAACTATTTTCTCTCTTCAGTCTCTCAGTTAGTTGATTCCCAACAGATATAAGCGATCCCATACGCGTGCCTACTGTTTTTTGTTTCACAAACAAATGTCAACAAAACACCATTAGCGTCACTTCCGCTTGACATTATATCATTTCCGTCTCTTAGTTGTAGCTTTAACAGAATAAGTATTTTTTTTATTGTTCTACTACAGACTTAAACTTATCAGCTAAAAATGTTAATACACTTTAAATGATTATTGTAGTGCAGTATTTAAGATTTTCAAACAAACAAACATTTAGACTCATCAGATGTCGCACTGGCTTCATAGTGCGACATCTGGCCACTTTGTAAGTGGCCAGATTTACGTTTAACAAATTTTAATATATTGATTTTTCATGAATATTCACTTTGCTATTAATTATGATAATCATTAAGACAAATAATTAACAGCTATGCCTATCACAAACAGCATAAAAACGAAAAACAACAATAAAATGTTCTTAAATGTGCTTAATATGTTTTAGAAAATATAGAAAACTACAGATTTAAATTTAGTTGTTTTTTTTTCTATTTTGCTTAGTAAAAACAACTACTTGAGGGATGAATGTGATACCCGAACCCTATCTTTAAAACCAACGTTTTTTGAGATATTAGTAATAATGATAATTATTTATTTTTTATTTAACATTTATTTCACAAGAATAATCCCATTATATTATCATTTTTACTGACTTAATTATTATTATTCAGTGGCTGGTTATGACTAAAACTCCTGTGAAGAACGTGCCCCTCACAATATGGCGATGACGTTGACGTACTCACGCGACCTTTACTCCTCCTCTGCGTCTTTGCGGTGATTCGTCAGCGTCAGTATGGCAGCCTGCAGGGAGCCGTGGGATTATTATTGAACTCCACAATTAAGTGAACATTTTGAGTTATTTATTGCCGAAATAAGGTTAAAACATGTCTCAGCTTCTGTGCTCCAGATTGTGCGTCACTGCTTGTTCCCGACCACTCTCTTTTTCTTCACTGTGCAGTAAGACAGGAGGAAAATGGAAACTCTCACGGTAGGTTGAAGTCATGGGTTGAAGTGACCAGTTGCTAGATTAGCTAGTGACAGATTTGTATTAGGCTAGCTGTGTTAATTACACGTTAAGTGGTACCACTGGCCCGAAGCAGTTTTATAATATGTGGAACGAATAGTTTTGAGTTTGTAATCCAGACAAAAGAAGAATATTAGCAATTACTTAATCAAGGACAATGATTTGTCCTTTAATGTTTAATAAAGGGTAATATGTTATGTCAGTACGTGACATACAGTTTAAAAAAAAACTCTCTGATCTGAAAGAGTGACGCAATTATGAATCAGTAAATATAACTTGGCTTTAGAGATTTCAAAACTCTAAGGCCAAGTTTTGAAATCTTGGCCTTAGATTTCAAAACTTGGCAATACTTTATAAATTAGAAAGAGTACCACATGTAGTGTGTCTACTGGGGCGTTATAAAAGGTTTTAAGATCTAAATTGGTCATAAAATGTATCTTAATTTGCAGATCTAAAACAGAGTTTTTTAATAAATGATTTTGATTTCAGTTTTGTTTGATTTCAGTTTGAGAAAAATAATCCTTCATTTGTTGAGAAAATACTTTGAGTACCTAGATAAACAACTCAATCTCAGTTGTTTGTAACTAAAAATATCCAGAAAATGTCTTCATATTTCTCATATGCCTTCATTCATGCTAGTAATTTTACCCCCTAACTATATTTGTAATGCCTTGTGATGCAGGTGGTATACAGCTCATTCACACACCTCCACACAGCCACCTGGCAATCCTTTCCACCGCATTTGGAACCTGACTCAGAGAGCCATCCACCACTCCTCCTCCCGGACATCCAAATCGCCAGGTTTGAAATTCATCTTAGGACCTGCGGTCCTCACTGTTTCAGCACGCCTGTTCTGCCGTGTAGCCTGCTGTGAGGCAGATGACAACAACAACGCTCCAGAGGAAGTTATCCTCAAAGACTCTGTGCCTGACTTCAAATGGCACATCCTGTGGGAATTTGTCAAACCACAGCTGTTTGCGCTCATCGGTGCTGTTGTGGTAAGCTTCAACTGGTTTATTTGAACTTGATTGCAATGATCAAAACTGCCATTTCCAACTGCAAATGCATTTTCTCTTTTCAGCTTGCTTTTGGTGCAGCTATGTTGAACATTCAAATCCCATTAATGCTTGGTGATTTGGTAAATGTTGTAGCACGCTACCTCAGAGAACATTCGGGTACCTACGTCAACGAGATAAAAGGTCCTGCTATCAAGCTACTTGGACTGTATGCTATCCAGGTACGTACAAAACATCTATAAATGCATGATATACGTAGTTTTGAAGTTTAAGTCGAAGTTCCGCACTGTACTGTTATGGGTAGTAGGTGTTAAATGCACCCATATAAATACAGTTCTTTTGCAAAAGTATTTGTACTTTTGTACATTTTTGTATTATTTCACATTTAGCCCATAATCTTTATTGTTTTGTATTATAATTTTATGTGATTAAGCAACATATATTATTGCACAGTTAAAAGTGGAAATGAATGTACTTTTTTTTTATTACACATTTTACTCTGTAAAAATCTGAATATTCTTATGAATATTCAATGCTCCCAAGAAACATATTTTCCCATATTTTTCTGCATGCTTATGGTATGCTTCTATTTGATTTACACATCTGGAGTAGGGCTTCACAACATTAGAAAAACATATGATATGCGATAACATCAGTAAAGGTTGCTATAACGATTAGGCTTTTGGTAAATAAATAAACAATGGAAATAGCTCTCTGCTTTGTATTCTTAGCAAAGCTGAGACTAACCCCAGATAAGGGCTAGTCTATTCTGTCTCGGAAAAATGAAATGGAATGTAACATTTCCATCTCAACAGTGTTTTATTAAAAATTTGTATTTGTTTTTGGCTTTATCTTTGAAACAACTTAGTTGTAGATTCTCACTGAATTTACCATCTCACCATCTCTTTACAATATAAAGCTTTTTATGTTGCTTTAAGTGTCACTAACTATATTACAGGCATAGAGAGCCTGAATTCTCGGTACATAAACACTTAAATCAGTCCGCACAGTTTCTTGTTATTTATATATTGTGTACAGTGATATTGCGCTAACAATAATTTTGCAATTGTGCAAATAGACTCAGACCTTTGGTTATAATGTGACAAAATGTGAAAAAGTTAAAGGGGTATGAACATATTTTCACAATACTGCATGTAGGTTCCAAAATGAGTACATTTTACCATTTGCATGCAAAAATTGAGATGTCACAGATTTAAAAGGTTCAGTGGTCTGTTGTTCTGGTCCTTCATCAAATCTTTTTTGCAGGGCCTGCTAACAACTGGCTACATCATCTTACTGTCGAGGGTAGGGGAAAGAGTGGCAGCAGACATGAGGAAAACCCTCTTTGCTTCCCTGATAAGGTATATATTCTACAATGTTGACTCTGAACACTGTTTTAAAACATATTCAAGCAAAGTCACTTTTCAAACCTAAGTACTACCCTTTTTTTTTTTCTTTTTTTTCCCCACCAGGCAAGATGTTGCTTTCTTTGACGCCAATAAAACCGGGCAGCTTGTAAACCGTTTGACTGCTGACATTCAGGAGTTCAAGTCTTCCTTTAAATTGGTTATTTCTCAGGTATTTTCACAAGCTTGAGTCAGCATTTTGGTCACACATCCCATATAAAAATTGCAACCATTTTCCCATCTTGTATATTTTCAGGGTCTGCGGAGCATCACACAGACAGTCGGGTGTTTTGTGTCTCTCTATATCATCTCCCCCAAGCTCACAGGCTTGACAGTCGTTGTCCTCCCATGTCTTGTGGGAGCAGGAGCTATTATTGGTTCATTTTTGCGCAAACTATCTCGTCTCGCTCAAGAACAGGTAATATTTTATATATTTATACTGTTTGATTTATTTATTTTTTTTTTCATATTTGGTCATGTTAGCCAAATATGTAGAGCCTCTTGCTACAGAGAGACATTATTACAGCAGGGTTTGAAAGTTGGTCATAGTTGATGGAGTGTAGAGAAATCCTGACAGAAACTCGGTCTGCAAGAGACTTCAGTGGAGGTTCACTTTTTAGCAGGACAACACCCACCAAACAAACAGTCAGTGCAGCAAAATAGCATTTGTGTCTTAAAGTGGCCTAGTCAAAGTCCAGACTTGAATCAAATTGAGAATCTGTGCCAAAACTTGACAAGTGATCTACACAGACTGGATCAACCCAGCATTCTTGAGGTTGCGTTTTTTTTTTTTTTTTTTTTTTTTTGCAAAGAACAATGTAAAAAATAATGTCCTTAAAGTATTGACCAAGTGAGGCTCAATACAAATGCACATTGCACTATTTTGATTTTTATTTCTAAAGAATTTTGAAAAGCACTATCAATGTCCTTTTTTACTTTATAATACTGTTGGATACTGTTGGACTTTTATTGCATAAAAATCCAACAAAACCAATTGAAGGGCTATGAATACTTCTGTACGTTGATGCTTGTTGTTTGCTCTCAAAATCAGCCATAAAAAAATATTTTTCAAAATGTTGTTTAATTTACTATCCGACTGGCTTCTGCTGTTGTTCAAATCCAGGTAGCAAAAGCAACAGAGGTGGCAGATGAGGCTCTGGGTAACGTCCGGACAGTGAAAGCTTTTGCTATGGAGGAACGAGAACTCCAGTGAGTAAAAGCACATTCTGAAATCATTCTTAAAAATTGACTATACTTAGTCTTTTATTATGTTTCTCCTCAGACTGTATGCACATGAAGTCGACAAATCATGTGAAATGAATGAAAATCTTGGTGGAGGCATCGCAGTTTTCCAAGGCTTGTCGAACGTGGCACTGAACTGTGAGTGTTGACGTTGCTGTTGGACACAATATATGTCAGACCTTCAATAATGCTAGTGTTCTGATGCTGTTCAAACAGGCATTGTGCTGGGAACTATTTTTGCTGGAGGGACATTAATTTCAAGTGATGAGATGTCTCCTGGAGACCTGATGTCTTTCTTGGTTGCTTCGCAGACTGTTCAGAGGTATGAGACTCACCATGTTTATTTCTTCATCTGATTCACA